TGGCGGCGCAGGGTTTCCTCAGGAGCCGCGCTGTGTCGTGTTTGGTTTGTGTTTTTTGGTGTTTTTTTCTTAAATATCTCGGTTCAGACCACGAAACGTTATTGTGGCAGTATTTTAAGCCTCGTGAAATCGAATCGAGCTAACAGTTGCCTCAAAGTATGTTTGTTTGGGTTTTTCTTTTCTTATTTTTTTTCCCCCTGGATAGACCTTGGTTTTCACAGCTTACCATAAAAGATGCAGATTCAGGAGAAACTCAGTAAATAACTTTTCCCATGCTGCGAAGGTTTTGTCTATACAGAGAGACTTTTGTGCGAGGCACTTCTGAGTCGATAGGACGTTGAGGTGTAACAGATTAAGTCTGGCATGGAGAACCCTGATACCTCCTGCATCCACAGAAACCAGGGGGAGATCAAATGTTCCTTACAGGAGGCGAGCCCAAAACAAAATCGGATGGTTCATCCATCAGTAGGTATTGTGGAATTCCTTGCCAAAGGATGTAGAGACAAAAGAATTTCAAAGGGATGCTGGAGATGGATTGGAGGAAAGATCAGTTAAGGTTTGGAGACAAGCAAACCACACTAGGTCAGAGGAATCCCCCAAACCAGAAATAGCTGGAGGCAGAGAGCAGTTGGCAGAGGTACGTGCCCTGCACACACAGCTAGTTTCCTGCAGGAGCTGTTTATCCCTGCTTTGGGTGGCAGTGGAGTAATTGAACCTTTGGTCTGAACAACTGTGGTTATTCTCATGAACCTCCTAAAGTTTCCTAGATACCCACTAAGGTTGACCACCTCACTGGGAATCTTCTTTTTTTCCATGCTTTTCAAGCAGTGCTGAGAGTTCTGTCCTCGTGGTACATTATGAGCAAAGAAATCAGTCTGAACTAAAATTCTGGGCAGAGAGAATAACAGGGAACCAAATTAGCCATAATCTTTCAGGAAGAAAAAAGAGTTTGTGAGGTCTCTCACAAAAATGAGAGTCCTGTATCTGAGATGGGAAGTAAGAAATCTTAAAAAATGGGAAAGAAATAGAAAATGCTGCCTTTGCCTTTAGGGCTTTGTATGACAAAAGGGGATGGCATCTGTTGTTTGGGGCTTCATTGTTTTTCCCTGTGATTTTAACACATTGATTCTTTAGTTGCTGCAATTTTAGAAGAAATTTCCACTTATTTTTGGCTTAATATGTCTTAGTTCCACCCTTCTCCACTCAGTAAAGAATAACATGTCATGTAATGCACTTCATCAAAGATAAAACTCTGGGCAAAAGCTCAGCATACTTATCTCAGGATTCTTGAATTTAGGTTTTTCTGGGAAGTAGAGAAGCTCTTCCCCGAGCCAGTGGTATTTTGGGTTGGTCTTCCAGTTCTGTTGTGCCTTTGATTTAAGATAAACACATAAACTTTATCTAAAGGAGAAAAAAAAAAAAAAGGCAGTGATTTTGACTGTGGTGCAGTTATGAGTCCTTCTATTGTTAAATTTTGTTTATTATAAGCTTTTTAAATTTTTTTTTCTAATTTTAGACTCATCCAGCATGCCTTCACTAACAGAAAAGGACAGACCAGTTGTCCAGCTGTTGCTGAGCACTGGCACTTGCCCACGATGTATTTTGAGGTTCTGCTGCGTGGGATCACAGGCACTTTACAGACGTCCATACAAGGTTTGTGCTTTGTGATCCTGATCAGAATGTGTGAAATTCAAATGCAGTGTTCTTTGCACTACCTTGGAGGAGAAGGTTGCTCTATTTTTGGGCTCTTTGCCCGAGAAGAAAATGCTTTGCAAAAACAAGTTATGAAAAGTGGCTGCTGCTTCCCTGTGCAATTTTGAGAAATAAGAATCAGAACAGAACAATTGTTGTGGGTTAAATGTTCAGTTTGACTGTGAGAGTTGCCATGTGTTCCATGAAACCATCAGACAACAGGGCATGGTAGCTTCTGCACAGCATGGCTCCAGCTTTTGAAGCAGAGCAGCTATGGCTGTTCCCTCTGTTTTTCCTTTAATGTAATGAGTAGTAAAGGGGCTGTGGGCAGTGCAGCTGATGCAGGGGAGGAACCATGTATGCTCCAAACTTTTTGCCTCATGCTTTCTTCTTTCAGTAGAATTGGTAGTAAGAATATAACTGAAGAATTGTGAAGCACAGGTTAAGGATAAGTCTTTTTCAGTCAGTCAAACAGTGCTCTTGAGCATCCTTTTAAGCTGAGCTTAGTGCTGAAGTTTAGTGCTCTTCAAATTTTTCCTAGCTGCACACAATCTTCTTTGCCTTTGTTCTTATATTTGATAAGCTTCAAGTTGATTTTGGCTATTTGCTTCTCCTCTACATTGGTTCTTTGAGACAGTTCTCATCATGTAGACCAAATAAACATCTCCATTTTCCTGGTTTAGTCACTTGTCTTTATGTTTGCATCTTCTGCTGACTGTATTGATTGTTTCACCTTTGGTCAACTTTGTACTCTCCCAATTTAATTTTTAACATCTTTGCCCCTTATCCATTTCCATTTGCTATCAGTCATTTTTCTGCTGACCTCTTGCCCAATATAGAATGATATTATCATTAAGGGGCAGACCAGCAGCCAAACTCCTCTCTCCACTCCCACATCACACCAGAGATCCAAAGTCCCAGACATCCAGAGAGAGGAACAAGTCAATGCACTCACCCACCACAGTGGGCACGAAGAAGGGAGCAAGCTGGCTGAGGACCCTGGGTGAAAACCAGTCAGGAGAGCCTTTCCTGGCTGGTTGTGGACATCATCCACATGCCAACTCTCATTCAGGGTTGGGGGTTTAAACCTCAGCACATCAGTCATTTGAGAAGTGTTTACTCTGTGTGCCATTTTTTATTCCTTTGCATCTCTACCTAATTTTCATCTGAGTTGCAGCAGCACAGTAATTGCTTTGTTACTGAAAACCATTTAATAGTTCCTTCTGAAATGTCTTGCCTCTATCTCTCATCCTTCCTAAAATTCAGAGACATGCAGGTAATTCTTTTTTTCTCCTCACCAACACATCCTTCAATTTTTGTAGGCTTCTCTATATGACGTTCCTCCTCAATATATAAAGTTTCATCCTCACCTGTATCTGCTCTCATTTTCTTCTTCTACTATACTAGTCAACTGTCTTCCTAGTCATCTGGGCTAGTGGAGTTAGAGGATTTAAATTCTAACATAATCTCCATGAGGAAAAGGCAATAAACATCTATTTTCATTGAATAGCAGTGGGGCCAAAGATAGATGCATTTCTGCAAGTCAGGTCTGTAAAACGTTTTCACTCTTGGATGATAAAGAAGTATGTTCAGCCAAGTTCAGTTTCTCTGGATAACATTTTGAGAGGAATACAGCTTGGAGCTTTTTAATTGTGTGGGTGTCTTTTAGTATAAATTCCAAGCTATTCATTACATACACTAAGGCTAAACTGGAGTGGTTAGTATTACTTTCTAGAATTGTGTTTGGAGGTGCTTGTTACAGCACTGGAGAAAAGAGGAAAAAACAGCAACAGTATGGTTCCTCTGTGTTAGGATTTGATGAAGGATTTAAAAGACTTTCTGAAAAATAATCAAGAAGCAGAAGATCCGGTTTGTTTAGATCCACCTTGTAAAAGAATCAGACTTGAGCACACAGAAGAAGGGGCTGGTGATGTGAACCACAACGGGGAGCTCCAGCAGATGCCTTTGGTTAATGATGGAAATCCTGCCCTGGAGAACTCTGCTGTGAGGGTTTGCAACGTGTGTTTGGGAATCCTGCAGGAGTTCAGCGAGGCTGACTTCGTTAAAAAGGTAAATACCTGCTCTTAATCTTGCCGTCTGTGTTTTCTGGAGCTTGTCTGTGCTGGGGCCTGCAGTATAGAGCTGGTAATTAAAATCCCCGTGCAGTAAAACAGCTGAGAAGAGAAGGATCCTGGAAAACAACGCGGGGTGTTTGTTGAATTTGGAGAGCTGAAGTGTAGATGGCGCCATTCCCCCACGTTCTGCTCGCTGCCGTGTTCACACCCCTCCCCTGCACCTCAGAATAAAGGCTGTCCCTGTCACCAGATTCTACACAGGCCTTGTCATAATGTAACTAAAAAACCCATAAAAATAGTGCAGGTGCAATACAATGACTGCTCGGAGCACATTTTCCTAAAAAAACCCAAGCAGCCACGTGAGCACATGAATTTAGGAGATAACCTAAGGTTCAGCTGCTTAGATTCCAAGGAAAACCTCACTGTGAATGGTGACCTCTCTTCACTTTTCTTACGTGCAAAGAAAATGAGGAGGCATCAACTGCTGTGCTCTACAGCTTAACTACATTTTCCTGATAGAGCACGAGTCTGATTTTATAACACAGCACTACTTGGAAAGCCACAGAGAAGGAAAATGTTTTGGTGATACAACAGATTGTAGATAATGGAGAAAATATAAGTTAGGAGAGAAAATGGGCATGATGATGCAAACATCATCCCTGAGCAATAAACATCCCTGAGTTTATGTGACAAACTGAAGTATCAGCTAGAGAATCACACTTGCATTTGAGATGAACAAAGTTTTAAGAGAAAATAATTTGGTTTAGTAGCAGGAACGTATCTAAAAAGGGGAGTCCACAGAAGGCATAGTATATAGTGTCTGTTGTTGCAGTGCATGATGTCTCTCTTGTTTCCACTGGCAGAGTATATGTATTTTTACAGAACCCACTTCTGAACTTGTTTCAGAGGTACTCTCTTGAGTAGCAATGGAAAAATCTGACAGCATTTGTTAAGGCACCACAAAACCTGATTATTTTATAAGGAGATCTCCATATCTGAGGTGTTGATTTCACCTTGAAAGCTCAGAATCTGTTGCACTAAGATTTCAGTATGCAATTGGTCTTAGCCTTAAAATCACAAGTTTGGTTGTTTCATAGCAATAAGGATAACTTTTTTTAACAGAACAAAAAAGCTTCTTTTTCAGTAAGTTGTTAGAGATTACTCTGGTTTGTATGTTCCAACATCTATCTGAATGTGTATTAACATGGATTTACAGTGATTACAGTAGAATAAAGACTATCCTAAAAGATTATCAACTTGGTTCTGTTGCTGTGGTTTAATATTAAAATCCTTCTCTTACAGATGTGCCAAAAGGTTCATTCTGCTGACTATCAGTTCACCAGTTTTGTCTTTTCTGTGTCGCTGCCCCCACAGCTGTCTGTTAGGGAGGTAAGCATGTGCAGATATTTCCTCTTAACTTAAATCTATATTAAAGAAATTAGCTGTGGAATGTACAAGCCGGAGGTGGTTTGATTTTTAATTGCTGTTGTTTAAAAAAAAACCCCAAACCCACATGCTAGAAGTGAAGTCTGCTCTCCTCTTCCTTGTTGCTGAGTATTATTTTAATTAATAAAGTGTCTGAGTTGCTGCAGTTTTCAGTTAGCCCAGGAGTTACTTTACATCTGAAAATCTAAAAGGAGTTTCTTGAAACCCTTGGTGTATTGTTCCCTTTGGTACAGATGCCAGCTCTGCTTTGTGCATTTTCTCAGAGAAGGAAGTGCACAGCTGGTGCCTTCCCTGAAATAAGTGATAATTGGTAGCACAGAATACAAATGAAGGAATTTGAAGATGAACTCTGTAGCTGTTCAGCATTTTAAATGATGTGAAAATACACATTTCAATAGTCACCTGTCTCGGGCGTTGTTGAAAGTCTGGATTTGTGAAACTGAATTTTATAGCAGTTGTAAAACTACTGATTTTGATGGCAATTTTAATCAAACTTAAATTGTCTACAGTTCAGTCATTTAGTTACAGAGGATAATGATAATATGGAGGAGTGTATAACCCTGGGCATTTGTTTTTTTTCTAAATGAAGGAGCATAGTATAACTTGATCAATAAAGAGACAATTTTGGCTTAGTTAGGATATGTTTTACTATGTTCCTCTGTTTTCTGATATAAAGTGATGCAAAGACACTACTCATGTAGGCAACATGTAAATCTTTACAAGAGATGCCTGCTGTGGTAAGATGCAGTAGAAGCTTCAGTGAACGTGGCAGAAAGAAGCATAGGTGGTCTTGGATTTCTCTATAAACCTGTGGTGACTCTCATCCCCTGCAGTTTGATTGTTAAATAAAGCTGTGTTGTGTGAATATACATTCTACTTCTAAGTCCTCCTGAGCACAAGATTCTCTACTTCCCATCTGAAATTAAGCAGAGTTGGTGCATTTGCTTCGGCTGCCACTGTGTCTGGTAAAATGACACTGGAACAAAGTGCTTTGTGCTTTCTGGCTGGCTGCACTGCCCTTATATCCACTTCATTTTATGGTCAACCAAAAAATGAGATAAGTCCATAAAGCATTTTCAAGCTGAGTATATGGATGCACACGTGTGTTCCTACGATGCTCTGTAAAACTCCAAATGTTGGTCATACTTACTCCTACTTTGTGCCCTGTGTAAAGTTAGGTGTTTAAAAAAAGGAGCTTTATTTTTAGGCTGATATTGATCAGGTTTTTTGTTTCCAGTCTACCTTTGCTAGTCATTACTGAGACCTGCCTTCCTCCATTCATAATGGCCTCAATAAGCAAAAGCACAGAATCTTTTGGCTTGAGTCCCAATTCTCATGTTACCAAGGTCTTAATACATTTCCATTAGGCATCTTTAGCTTGACAGCTATAGTTTATCTAGCTTAAAAATAACAACTTATTTTTTTCCCTATAGCATAGCTCTGTAACGATGGAGGCGAGGAGAGAAAAAATTGCTGCTGCTTTTTTTCCTTACCCTTCTTGTGGGTCTTTGCCAGAATGTCTCGGTAGAGGGTGTTGTTGCACTGCAGTTGTAGCTCCTTCATGTCCTCACACTAACCTGAACAAGCAGGGCAAGTGTTTGTCTGCTTTTGAGGCAGCCTCGGCTGTAAATGGAAGCGTGAAATAATAGTTTACTTCAAAGAGTTCCTCTTGCTGATTGAAACGTTCATGATACACCAAGACCGTGTGGACTGGGAAAACTGACTTGGCAAATGCAGTTGGTAGAAACCCAGATTTATTACTTTATAATAACTCTGTCTTCTAAGTGCAATAAATTACTAGTTTGATAAAAGGGATGAGATGTAATTTTTAACCTGTCCCTCTGCTTTATTCAAGGTATTTTGTCCTTCTGTTCAAGCCAACAATACTACAGTGCTTGGTTCAGCCAAGGGAATAGAAGTTGTGTGGTTCCAGACAGGTATAGGTGCAGTGAAATGAGTGAGCAGGCAGCTCCAAAACCAGATCTGTTCTCTTTGGAAACAGTTTTGGTTTGTTTGGGAGCAGGGTTGCATTAGGAAGTTCCTGCTGTCCCTTCCATTCCTTCCCTTCAGAGCTGCCAAATGCTAAACCAGCTACTGTGTAGCTGTGCTCTAACTGAAGGGGTGAAAATGGGTGATGGTGGAGAAAGCATCTCTTTAAAATCATGGGTGTTTGTTTACCACCTATCCATTTATCACTGCAAAAAATAATTGGTAAAAACAGTTCCTGTTTTACAGATAAGCAGCAAGTAATACAATATGTCAGAATATCTTAAATATCTCAAAATGCTTTTTGTTGGAAAGAGGTCTTTTGTTAAATTCTGCTTTTAATTCTTTGAACTTCACTGTACCATAACATAGGTCATTTTCTCATAAAAGGACACCCCAAAGACAGCCTCCCTCCCATTGACCTTTTGGATGACACACAGATTTTCTCTGGCTTCTTTTTAAAAGAGGAAAAAAAAAACACAGAAACTGCCTTTTAATATTACCTTCAACTAATTTAATTATGACAGTTGTCATCCTGCCAAGGATAGGAGCTGAAGAAGAGTGGGACATAAAATTTACATCTGCATAGTATTTGTATCTGTAATGCAAAGAAGCTATCACCTCTTTCCACAAGTAGGATATCTGATTAAAATAAATCATAAATACAGGAGTCCCAAGTTTATGTCAGACAACTATATTAGAATATGAAGTGAGTCATGCCCTTCAAAAGGGTGACTGTTAGCTCTGTCTGGAGTCTCAGTTGTGATCCATCATCCTGGTACTTGCTGCAAGGACATGGATGCAAATAGCATCTGTAGTCATTACTCCCTGCAGGACTGTGTGTACCTCATCATGGAATTCCCCAGCTCGAAGCTCTTTTCTAATACCCTGAACCAAAACACTGTGCCTGGGATTGCACTTGCTGCTTCAACTGTTGCCTCTGCGATCCCTCAGACAGCAGTAGAATAATATCCTGCAGCTTGTAATCAATACAGTGCCTGAGCTGGTGTATTTCAGAAGTATATTTGCTGTTAAGCATTGCCCTGCAGGCTTGAGCTCTGTAATGAGCATTTTTCATTTTCAGACCGCTTCACAAACATGGAGTAATTATGAAGTGGAGGGATCTGATCCCCTGCTTCACGTGCAGCTGGGAGGGAGCAGAGCAGGGGAATGAAGGCAGAGGAGGAGAGGGGTTTGCCTGCTTTGGTGCTTGAATGTGATTTGGAATTTGGGATGTTTTGGCCTCTGTGCTCACGGTACCCTAATCTATTGTTTCCTCTTAATTGAAGGGGAAAAGCAATTTCTTTAATCTTTAATTTCTTCAATTTTGAAGTCAAGAGAGAGAAGGTGAAATTTGACCTGTGGTCCCATTTTAGGGAGCTAAAATAGCTACTGAGATGCAGAAGTGTTCTCAATTTTGTAACTGTACCCCTGTAAAACAGGGAAAAGGAGTGAGATTAGCCACCCGACTGTGTACCCCACCTCCATGTGCTTTAAATCGAAGCATATGAGACTTTTTCTAATTGGCATTTGTCAAATGCAGATTTCTAGACCCAGTTCCATGGCTGTCACATTCTCTAGTTCAGAATTATGTTCAAGGAATTTCAATTGGAAGCTTTATTTATGATTTTATCTGGGTTATTATGCAAACAAGATTGCAGTATACTTCATGGTGTTTTGTGAAGCAGTCTCACTCATGCTGTCTACATGTGCAGATAATGAATCACAGTGGATTTGAGTAAACAGTGTTCCATCAATACAACTGTATTTGTTTTGTTAGTAGCCTGCAGTTTAGTGTATCCTGTATCTGACAAAGTTTGTGTCCTCTCTCTGCCATCCCTCTTGCCCCTGAATATTTCTACCACTGTTTTTAGGATTCCCTCATTCTTTCAGATGTACCAAAGGAAGGATAGACATTTTTTAATTGAGTTCTTCTATCAGCCTGTAAAAGAGATCTATGATATGTTTCCTTTTGAGATCAATGAAAAGATTGTGATCCTCACTCTGCTCCTTTAAGTCTGATATGTGTTTTCAAACCTCTTCATTAGAATTATTTCCTGACAACAGGACAGTAATTCTTCCAACAGAGTTTGGGGAGAGGTTGTTCTTAAAGCATCTTGTCTCCTGACAACAGCACAGTAATTCTTCCAACAGTTTGGGAGAGGTTGTTCTTAAAGCATCTTGTACAAAGAGTGAAAGACAGGGAAGGAATTTAAAATTATGAAGAATTTAAATCAGTGTTGCTCACTGCTTCTGAGATACCAGCTTTTTTGGACACTGTGTGTTTATATGTGGTTTTATGACAGAAGTTGGGAGTCACCTTTCTCTGACACTTCACTACTTTTGGACACTGTGTAAATGTGGTTTTATGACAGAAGTTCGGAGTCACCTTTCTCTGACACTTCACTAGGAGTCTGCAGTCCACAGATTGAAAACTACTGGTTTTTATTTATTTATTTCAGTGTAGTTGTTTCAAGCCAAACAACTTAATTTTGGGAATTCATCTTCAGTGAGGATGGTGAGACTGGGTGTCCACTGTGCATTGACAGTACAGGTTCTATTAGTTAAGTGGCATCCTGCCAGTGTTAATGAATTTGGTGGTGGTTGTAGAGGAAGAACTGAAAATGTTATTGTTGTTGTTGCTTCACTGAAGGGAGTTTAGAGGGAAATTCTTCTCTTTTTATTAATTGCTTTTGCACTGATAGGCATTCTGTTGAAATGGAAACATGGGTCTTCTGAAGACCTGTGTCCAACATCACTTTTTTTTTGCCCCACTTAATTAAGACCTAATAGGAAGGCCATTTGAGGTCAAAGTGAAAATTCTGGTTAGCTGTAATGCACCTCAGTTCAGTGAGGTAAGTTTGCATTGTAGTGCAGAGAATGGCAGTCACTCCTGGCCCACACAGAGGCACAATTTAAAGCCTGAAGTGCTGAACAGTTACTACCCTGAAGTAATAGATCATTTTGTGGAATCAATATGTCAGCACAAAGAGAAGTGAGTGAGGCTGCAAGGAGTTTCAGCTCTGAAACGTTTGGGTGCCAGGGAAGAGTTTAGGCAAGATAGGCTTTTGGAAGCTTTAACCAGTACTTTTTGGAAGTCTTTGATTTTTTTTGATCATTTCAAATTTTGTTCATGCCTGTTAGTGTTGCACTGATTTGCTGGCTGTTGCTCCTTTGTGTTTACTTTTGCATTTTTCTGTTGTTCTTTCATACCACTGCTAATTTAAATTCTGCTTCTGACCTTTGTTATAACCACTGTTCATTTTCATACTGCTGGGTTCCATTTATTGGCTGTGACCCCTTAATGATGGTTCATGGTTCTCTTTCATGGGCAGTGTAGCATCTAAGGAGCCTGCTACAGTGTATTCCTTTACATATTTAAGGCTGCTAGAGGGGAGTAGAGTTTGAGGAAGTACTTCCAATGCACAGATTGAGGGGAGTGAAGCATTAGGGCAGGTTGTCCAGTGAGGTGGTGAGGTCTGCAGTACTGGAGGTGTCCAAGAATTCTTTGGGTAGAGCCCTCAGCAGCCTTGTCTGATCTCATAGCTCATCCTGCTGTAAGCACAAGGTTGGATAGAGACCTCCTGAGGTTCTTGAATTATCCTGTGGACACATATGTAAAGCAAATATTACCTTCTGGGACCTCCACTCAACGAAGTATATCAGGAGCTGCAGAAGGTAACATTCACAGAGGATCTGCACAAAGAAACAGGGGGGTAACTGGGAAACAAAAATGAAGAATTCAGGATTGAATCTGCCCAGGACTCTGCTATCACATCTTGCAGCCATGCCTGCATAGCCTGTGTCATCAATAATTGTTATGAACTCAGGCATTTGTACTAAAAGCTCCCTCTGATTTCTACAACTCTTTCCTCTGTTCTTCAGCTTTCTCATGTTCAGCCTGTCTCCTAAACTTAAGTGGTGTGCTTTAAAGAATGGAGCAATCCTCAGGGAAAGGGTCTGTGATTACTGTGAGACCACGTATGTCTTTTATTTCATGTTTTTATAAGGGATGATAACTGAATCTGATTTATTATTATTATTTATATGTCAAATCAGTTCTCATATACCTTCCATTTAGACACATTTGTTTTCATTTCCCTGTGTAGTACATAACTGCTAGTTGCACTTGACTTAGGCTGTCAGAGTCTTTTTCTTGTTATATTGTTAATAGCAAGTTTCAAAGTATGTTTAGTGCAGCCTGGTGGTTTTTATTAAAGCCAGACAGGATTTGAGATGAATTGCAAAGTGTTGTGCAAATAAAAACCAAGACTAATTCTGTCTTCCCACTCCTCAAGCAACAGCTGAATTAAAAACCTAATACGTACTAAGTTTTTAAAACATATTTTTCTTCTGCTAACAGTCTCTCAGATTGTTGGGAGTTTTGAGCCTTAATTTTGCTTGCTTTTTTTTTGTTTTCTCTCTTCTTCCTGGGCATGGCTGTGACCTGCAGCGTGCTGCTTGGCTGCTGGTAAAACAGGAAATGGGGTGAGTAATTTCTTTTGGCAACCTTCATACCATTTGTATGAGAGGCTTCTTCAGATTTAAAGAAAGAAGAGAGACTCTCACTACAATATTTTTTCAGCATAGTGGAAATGAGAAACCACTTAGTGCAGTGGACTTGCTGAGAACATGTATGTTAAGAGAAAATTTTAATCAAGCAATTAATGCTTTATTTTTGAGGTCAAGACAGTTGCTTTCATATAAAGGGATTTCTGCTAACAGTTGTGGAGTATGTAGTCTCACTTCCTGTGTGCTTGGCCAAGATTTTGATTTACTTTGTACCTTCAAAACTAAGCATAAGGAAATTTGGAATTGGGATATGCTGTCATTTTATTTTATTTATTTTTTAATTGTTTTTTATAGCGTGCAGATATTAGTGCAGTGGGTGCAGGTTAGGTTTGACTCTTCTTTTTTATAGCTCAGTGTTTTGAAATCAATTTAAGCCCTTGATTCTTTGTCTGCTCCAGGGCACTCCCACCCCTGGGAGTGGAGAAGAAGAACATATTATTAGAGCCATTTTGAAGGGATGAATTGACTTTGTGGGCAAGAGGAAAGCAAGCCACTTGTCTCAAAGTTAGTGGAGGATACTGAACTAGTCTTTGGTAGAAGCCATCTTGGCTGGAAGTACCATTTCAAGATATTGAAAGACAGATAGAGTAAAAGATGATGAATCACTTCCTACTTTGAGACTAATTTAAAACCAATCATTTCATTAAATTGCTTGAGAGGGGATGAGGGGCAGATGCTGCCCACACTGCCTGCCAGTGGTGCCATTTGTATAGGAGGATGTGTTCTGCTCTGCAAGTTCCCAGGCAAGTGGTTTGAAGTCATAGGCTGGCATCTTTGCAGGCATCTGCTCCCTTTAACTTCTCTCTCCATAGGCAAAGACATGGAATGGGGGCTTGGTCTTGCATCTACAGAGGTAGCCAAGCCTGTCCCAGCAAGGCCAACTGAGATTGTCATTGGGGCTTTTCCTTTTTGGAATTTGTCCCCACTGGAGTTCATGCTCTCCTTTAATGAAGGACTAGATTGCCCTTTTAAATAATAAAAATGAGTCTGATGGGATATTTTTAAACAAAGGATTTCTGTGCATCTCTCTTGGCTCTTCTCCAGGTAGACCCTGGAGAGATTTTGTCAACTTTTGATCTACCATGAAGCTGTGGCATGAGTTTCCTCAGTGCATGCTCTTTTACACAGGAAAAAAAAGAAAGAATTGATACTTAAATATAAGTGAAAAAACCCACACAAATAGAAACAGGGCAAACCAAGCTAGTACTTAGGTGGAAGCTGAACAGGAGGCTCCTTAGCAGGCAGTCATGTCGTGTCAGCATGCAAGTGCTGGGAGGAATGCGGGGCGAGAGGCGGGGAGGAGGCCACACAGTCCTACCCCTGCTTGAGCTGACTGTAGCTCAGGTAACTACACCTTTAGCTGCTCTGTGCCAAGCTCTAATGTGTTTATTGGGAAGCACCTTACCTGGAATCCTGATCTGCCCTGTATTATGTTTCCTCAACACTTTGTTTGTTAATTCAGTACAAAGATTGAGTCCCATTATAGGAGGTCTTGGAACAGCCTTTCATTCTTTCATGTACACTTAGTCTTTTTGTCCTCTTTAATTTGTGCTTTGCTTTACCTGGCACTAGTTACTTAAGTTTGTCTTGAAATGTTATATGTCATGTATCTATCTTTGACAGACTTCTATGCAAGTTATTTTTTCTTTGTGATTCAGAAATCTGGGCCTTTCCTTGGCAAAGGATGACATTGTTCAGCTGAAAGAAGCTTATAAGTGGATTATTCATCCCCAGCTGTCAGAAGAGTTGGGTGTCCCAGCTGATGGAAAGGTGTTGTATAAATAAGAAAAACATTTTTTGCTTTTTTTTAATATGTGTTTCTGTGTGTATATATAATTATACACTTAGATATGTGAGGGGAAAAAATAAAAATACATCATTTTTTCTCCTCATTGACAGATAAATAAGTTGCACTGCTCTTAGGGGGGAGCAGGGGGAAGATCTTTTAACCAGAGATCTCCAGGTCTCAATACTGAGAGGTCCAGTCTTCATTTTTGGGCACGTGGATCATTGCATCTTCTGAAACCATCGTGGTCTTTTGCTAAATCTCTTGCTCTTGGGCTGTCATCCTCCTTTTATCATTGAGACTTAGTCAGTTTAATAATTTTGCAGGTTCTCTATTTTCCAAGGGCCAGGGAACGTTCACACATTCCTTCTTGCTCTCCTGTTACTGCCCACACCATTGTTCAGGTTGTTAGCATGTTAAATTCTATGGATAAAAGACATTTCTGAAACATACTGAGAGGGGAAGGACTGGTCCTTGTTCACGTTAATGAATGCTAGAGATAGGCAGGTTGGAACCTGCAAGACCTGCAGTAGGCAATAGAAATGTTTTTTCAAACCCTGTTTTCAACCTTCAGATTCTGACTAACGTTGTTGAAATGTTTCTGAAGTGCACTGACTGAACATGACATTCAGATGTTGCCAGATAAATTCAGAAACCATCATCTCAGAGGCAGAACTCCTGCAGAGGTGGCTAAAATGCCTGCTGGGGACAAGGCAGTCTGCAGTTTTCCCTGGTCATTGGCCATGGGACTGACCCCAGGGTTAGACTCATTTACCTTCAGGTTGATTTGTCAGCTTCCATAGTAATTACAGCTTGTCTGTCCCCAGGAGTGCTAACTGAAGGCATCCCTTTTGTCGTAGTGGAGAAGGAAACACTCACTTTCCCTGAAGATGATCCAAGAAGCAGCAAACTTCTAACATACCAAGTTAGCAAAAGCTCTACAAGGCTTAGGCACCGAGCCACTCCAGGCATCACTGCACCATAAAAGTTACTTGTCTAGTGCTCTTTATCTACAAGGCACTTGAATATTAGCCAATCTTTTCAATAGCCCTCTCGAGGTACGCTGGTATCTGAATAACAGAAGTAATGAGTGTTGTTTGCCCAAGGCCAAGGAGGGAATTGAGGGTAGAATTGAGATTACACTGGAGTTTCTGGTCGAGCTGTCAATCCACTAGGACATGTTGCCTTTCTTTGCCCCAAGGCCATCCAGTCATTGCAAATGAAGCCCCTGACAAAATTTCACAGTGGTGACTACTACAGGGTTTTTATCTTGATTCCACGCTGTGCTCTGCTCTCCCAGAAGGTTTGTGAAGTTTAGTGACCCTAATAGGCTTTGAGCATACACTGTCTCTGACTCAGTTCCCCCTGTGCAGAATGGGGCTGGTATCTATGATGTGGAGGTCACTCAGGTTTTTGAAGTGCTCCCAGATAATCTTTGGTTACTTCAGAAATGCAAATGCTATTGTGGCACATGTTTTAATGCCTTTAGATGATGTAGAATAAATGGGTTGCTTTCTCTCTTGTCTAACTCTTTGCTGTCTTCCTAATATTGCAGTAAGGATGCTTAAGAATATCCTTCCTATTTGTTTAAAATCTATTACCACCTTTGTTTTTCTTGTTTTAATTTAGAGTTTGTTTGAAGTTAGCGTGGTCTTTGCTCACCCAGAAACAGAGGAGGAGTGCCATTTCCTGTAAGTTTTTATATAAATAACAAAAGATCTTTATCTAAATATTGTGCAACATTGTTGGTTTGGATTTGCTACAGCTGAGACTATGCAGTGTATATAAAGGAGAATGGGCCCTGCATCTATACTTCCTCATGTTCAGATAGAGTTGCAGAGCTTGAAGTTACACCATCTCTGGTTAATTCTGTGCTTTAAAGCCAGTAAACAAAATCATCCAGAGTGTTGATCTGAACTGGAAGGAGAACATTCTGATAAGTTGTTCAGTTTCATCCCTTTCCAAAGTCATTACCTTCTTCAATATAGCAGTATCATTTAAAAAAATAAATTCAAACCATACAGTTGCAGGTGGAGGAAACTTTTGAGGTCATGCCTAGGTTTTCCTGCTCTTAGAGGAGATGTGGATGGGAGGGAAGGCTTTGAAGTGAGTTAATCCAACTTCTCTGGTTGATTAAAACAAACAGAAGTCCCCTGGCTACTACACATGGGGTTTGGCCTGGCCCAGTAGGGCATCTTCTGAACACAAAGGAGCAAAATATTTCTGTGAAGTTAGCTGTTATTTAATTGATTTCTCAAAATGTAGCTGTAGTATATTCTGGATAACTAGGTTCACTCTTCCTGTTTGTTGATGCTTCCTGGAAAACTTGTTTCACTCAGTTTCATCACTTGTGCTCCTACTGCAGGTTCATTCTTAGCCTAGAAAGATGCTTGGCCTAGACTTCTCTGGTGCATAGTGGATTCATCTCTCAAGACTAGAGATTTCCTTTGCAGCCTTTACAGCCCTGATTTTACTCCTTTTGGCAATTGGTGATCTTTGTTTGAATGCCCAATCTGCCTCTTTCTTGGCTTTCAAAAACTGCATTATTCATTTGTCTTGAGGTGGGGGATGAGGGAGTGTATTAGAATTAATTGTTTACCAGTGTTTGCTGAACATCTTTCCTTTCCAGCTTCTTCAAAACTGGGCAAAAAGGAGAGAAAGTAGTAGGGCCAAATTACATTTCTAAACAATGGTACCTGCAGTCCTGTAAAGCAAGAAAATTTTCTGCATCTTGCACCCTTTTGTTCTTATTTATTTAATTTTACCTGATCAGTTCGTGTTTTCTGTAATGCTTTTCCTTCCTCTGAAACCTCTGAGCTCTTATTTTCAGTTTATCTTTCCATCTTTTTTGAGACATTTCAAACCATTGAAGTGGAGCATGGTATGGTGCCAGTGTTAGCAATAGCTGCAGAGGTGAAAGCTGTAAAGAAGTTCCATTCCACATTCCAACTAGTCAGGTTTATTCCATGTGACCTGACAACATCCCTTTATTTGCTTTCTCTTTGTAACATACTTAAACAGCAATTAAGGTTTTAGACTTTTGGGGTTTTTAGCATATTACCTAATTTAATTACAAAGTAGTTTCTCAGGCGTCGAGACGTTCTGCATATGTGAAAGGCTGGCTCTGGGCATATTCTGAGGCAGAGGTTTTGTTTCAATGTAAATGTGGTAAATTTGGCAGTTGTCACAGCTTTAGTAATGACAGTTATGGTTTTTATAGAAGCAACCTGGAGAAGTCCTCCAGGTATGTTTTTGAGTGGGATTTCCAAGTATGGCACTTGCCATTTTTCATCTCTCAAGCTGTTCTTACACAATTACGTGT